AACATAAATTTAATAAAAGTTAAGTCAAGGTCAAAGGAGAGTTCAAGGTAAAAATGACAATGCGTTTGAAAAGTTTACTTTAGTATGCATCAACATAAGACGTTTGATATTGCTATCTTGAATGATATCTTGAAAACTGAGAAAATGTCAAGGTCAAAGGAAATATCAAGGTAAAAAAAAGTTGATGCAGTTGCATAGCTCTTATCGATATCTATCATCATATGGAGTTTGAAAAAAAATCTCTTTGTACTGTAGATTGGCAAATAATCACGATGGTTTTAATTTCACTATATTCGCGATTAATCATTTTTCATCAAAATGATTAACCATGAGTGAATGCTATCATTTACTATTTAAAAAGATTAAAGGCATCCACTAAATCTAAATTAATTCTCGCAGCGTGAAATTAAAACCAATGCAATTGGTACTTTTTGACGTCATGGACCTAAAACGATCTTCAGTTTATGGATACCTGCAAAATCAAATAGAATCAGAACGAAAACAAAACAAAACCTACTGAAACGAAACCAAACAAAACAATCGGAATGTTTTCAACAGATTTCATATTAAGTCTTGATCATGAAAATGAGCATTCTTCAAGTGTGACTGTTCAGTAGAGGATGCTCACTCTCTGACTCTTTTGAGGTACGTGTTTGCTCTGCTCCTATCTCGTATTGTTTAAGAGACTTTTGATTTTAAATACTGTTCGTTTTCTCCGTACATTTCATTTTCTTTGGTTTATACTTTAAGACTATGAATAAAACCACCGTTTTTAATTACCTCTACAGTAAAAAAGTAAAGTATTTATGAGGAGAGAGAGAGAGAGAGAGAGAGAGAGAGAGCTAGCGATTATTAATACTGTATTTATATCATATTATTGAGAGAGAGATGGAGAGAGAGATATATATCATCAAAAATTGTTAATGTATTAATCTTTATTTTAGCGAATATTTTTTCGGTGTTTACATTTTATATTAACATTTTCTCCATACATTTCATTTTCATTGGTTTATACTTTAAAACTAAGAATAAAACCACCGTTTTTAATTACTTCTACAATAAAAAAGTAAAGTATTTATGAGGAGAGAGAGAGCCAGCGATTATTAATACATGTACTGTATTTATATCATATTAATTAGAGAGAGAGAGATCGTCAAAGATTGTTCATGTATTAATCTTTATTTTAGCGTATATTTTTATATAGGGATATTTATGCCTCCCATGAGAAATATCAGCCTGAAAGTGCAGTGAAAAACAACCAAACACAGATATGCAGTTTTGTCGAATATGTCATTTTATTCAATGACATATAGTAAAATGTATAACAAATCATTAAGGGGGATCATCTAATATTAAACAATACAGGTTACATGTACACAGGTGAAAGGTACAAGTGTGATCCCCCTGAGACTGACTAGAAATTTACATGCAGTGAACATATCAGAGTACATGTAAATGTGCATAAAATATAGCATAAATGAGTAAATCCTTGGAGGCGTCCAAACAATTGCGCCGAGACTGACTAGAAATTTACATGCAGTGAACATATCAGAGTACATGTAAATATGCATAAAATATAACATAAATGAGTAAATCTTTGGGGGCGTTCAAACAATTGCGCCAATCGAGAAAGATATGACAAGTTAGTTACAAAAATACAAATCTGGACTAAAATGCAAAATAATATAAAACTAAAAACTCCAAAAAGGGTGGGTGGTGGTTTTTTTTTCTTCAGTGCACTGCCAGGCTAACAAAAATGGCGCAACAAAATCAAGGATTTTGATTGGATAACTCTGTCAAGCAAAATAAGGTGCAAATTCGCAATTAATTGCGCTGCGATAAGGGCGCATATCTTGCAGACTGCGCAGGGATATTATCCTTAGGTGTAAAATATAATATATTTCTCATAGCGGCATAAATTGAATTATCTGTGATAATATTGTTTTTTTTTTCGGTGTTTACATTTTATATTAACAAGTATTTGAATCATTTAAACTTTATATGGAGGAAGAAAAGTCTAATTGCAGTTACACATTCTGCATAATAATAACCTTAATTTGAAAAAAATAATTTTATTTTTGGATCGTTTCATTGCGGTAGGTTTTGTTTTTTCATTCAGTTTAATTTTCTTTATGAAATCCATTAGAAATCCACGACTTTCAAATCCGTATAACACACGCAGAACCTTAACACAATAGTACACAATGTACAATAGGAATTTGTAGATGCATTTTTTTTAATGTACAGTGTTTGTTTGAATTTAATAAAAACCATAACCCTCTTAAATTAACATACAAAACAACGAATTTGCGTTAAACTTTAAAATTAATTTGTAACTTTGCAAGGTCACAAATGACTCTAACGTCTATTAAGCAAACCAGCTTTGAAAGGCTCTAAATTAACATCAAAGATCTGTCGAGATTGTAGCTCTACTGGTTTATACTTAAAACAAAGGAAGAGAAAAGTAACAGTTGGGACTTGAGACTTTAAATTAGCAATAAATAGAAAAATGATCCTTGCAAATCATCAAATTAAATAAAAACCGATGCACAGAATCATGTATCTTATTATAGTCTACTTGTGTGCCAAGTTACATGTATATTAAAATCGAACCAAAACTGTAGGAGGAGTAGCATTTTGAAAGAATTTCAATGAAATTTCTATTTTTAGTAACCATGGCAACACCGTTCATTAAAATAATCAAAAACCGATGCACAGAATTATGTATCTTAGTGTAGTCAACTTGTGTGCCACGTTATATTAAAATCAGACCAAAAATGTAGGATGAGTAGCATTTTAAAAGAATTTCACAGAAATTTCTATTTATAGTAACCTGGTAACACTGTTCATCGAAATGAAAAACCGATGCACAGAATTATGTATCTTAGTGTAGTATACTTGTGTGCCAAGTTATATTAAAATCAGATCAAAACTGTAGGATGAGTAGCATTTTGAAACAATTTCAAAAAAATTCTATATTAAGTAACATTGGCAACACCGTTCATCGAAATCCAAAACCGATGCACAGAATTATATATCTTAGTGTAGTCTACTTGTGTGCCAAGTTATATTGAAATCGGACCAAAATTGTAGGAGGAGTAGCATTTTGAAAAATTGTTTACAGACAGACAGACGGACGGACACACATTTGGTTATATATTGGATACATCAAGTCCAAGTCCTATTGGATACTGCTTATTGGATACAAAAAAAGTGTACACACGAGAGAGCATTATTTGGGTAGTTACTGTTCAAATCTTATTGGATATTAATCCTCGTGTCTGTATTTTATTGGGTCTTTTCTTATTGTTTTTTATTCATTTCAAATTTATTATATATTTAATATTTGCTGGTAAATTCAGACAAGACTGAAAACCTTTGGTTTTGAACCCATATTTTTGTCAATTTCTGTGATATAGCTCTTTTATTGTAACACCTAACTAAATTGTTCCTAGCAATAAGGATATACACCTGTATATTTCAAAATATCTGATATTAAAATAGATGAATACCTAAGCGCAAAAAAACTGAATTGTGAAAACACAACTCAACACATCTCAGACTCTGCTCAACCTTTCTTGAATAACACAATTAAGTATTTAAGGAGAAACCTTTTTGAGTCATGACCAATTAATAATAAGCAAATGCCCATTACATGTTGGACAAAATGAAGGTATCCAACAGGCATTGGGCAGGTGTCCAATACCTATTGGGTTGTATTTTGACGATGGGATTAAACTACCCAAGAACAATTGAACATTTGTACATTGTCCAATTCTATTTGGGTTTCTTGAATCTCCTCATCAAAATACAACCCAACAGGTAATGGACACCTGTCCAACTCCTCTTGGATATCTACATCCCACCCAAAAGGCAATGGACACTTGTCTAATTCTTGGGTTTGTTGAATTGCATCATCAAAATACAACCCAACAGGTAATGGACACCTGTCCAACTCCTCTTGGATATCTACATCCCACCCAACAGGTAATGGACACTTGTCCAATTCTCCTTGGGTTTCTTGAATTGTTTCATCAGAATACCACCCAACAGGTAATGGACATCCGTCCAACTCCTTTTGGATATCTACATCCCACCCAACAGGTAATGGACACTTGTCTAATTCTTTGGTTTCTTGAATCTCCTCATAAAATACAACACAACAGGTAATGGACACCTGTCCAACTCCTCTTGGATATCTACATCCCACCCAACAGGTAATGGACACTTGTTCAATTCTTCTTGGGTTTCTTGAATTGTTTCATTAGAATACCACCCAACAGGTAATGGACATCTGTACAACTCCTCTTGGATATCTACATCCCACCCAACAGGTAATGGACACTTGTCCAATTCTTCTTGGGTTTCTTGAATTGTTTCATCAGAATACAATCCAAAAGGTAATGGACACCTGTCCAACTCCTCTTGGATATCTACATCTCACCCAATAGGTAATGGACACTTGTCCAATTCTTCTTGGGTTTCTTGAATTGTTTCATCAGTATACCACCCAACAGGTAATCGACACCTGTCCAACTCCTCTTGGATATCTACATCTCACCCAATAGGTAATGGACACTTGTCCAATTCTTCTTGGATTTCTTGAAATGTTTTATCAGAATACCATCCAACAGGTAATGGACATCCGTCCAACTCCTCTTGGATATCTTCATTCCACCCAACAGGCAATGGACACTTGTCTAATTCTTGGGTTTCTTGAGAATCCCCTCATCAGAATACTTCCCAACATGTAATGTAAACCTGTCCAATTCCTCTTGGATATCTTCATCCCTTCAATAGTATATAAACTAAAAGGTATTGGACATTCTTCTTGGGTTACTCATTTATTTTTTTCATAAGAAAGAAAACCCAATAAATATTGGACATTGGTTCAACTCTTCTTGGATATTACATCCCAACATTAGAATAAAACCCAACAGGTGATGTTTACCTGTCCCATTCTTCTTGGGTTACTTAAACCCTTCATTAAAATTGTCAAATTTGTCTTGGATATTTATATTCTTGCATTAGATTGCAAACCTAATAAGTATGACATTTACCTTCCCTAGTTGAATTCAAATTTATCTGCATAAGCATACATAAGTCCAAAACATATTTAATACTTTAATTCGAACATTCCACATCTCATTCAGTGTACACTTTACAAATGATAGGAAATATATAAGCATTTTGTGCCTAAACTATTTGGCTTTTAAAGAATTTTAAATCCATGTTTGTAAAATTTAAATTTAAATATTGGAACTTGGAGCAAGTCATTACAGGTAGAACAAGATGCTGAAAACCATACTGATAAATAGATCACACCCTTGATAAAATATTTGCCTTCAGTTGCTAAGACTGTGTTGTTTTATATGGAAAAATTTCTATAATCCTGTTTATTACAGATACATGTACAATGCATACTTTCCCTATAATAATAAAAATACTTCTGAGATGTAAAAGAATGGATTAAATAGTCACCGATGTTAAAAGATATTACATGATCTCATTAATCTAGTTTGGAAATCACAAACTTAGGTTTGAAGCCGATAAAACAGTGTAGCACCAGAAAACTCAGTTACAAGTACAATGAATGAATTCGTTGTATCAAAACTTTAAAATAATTGATGCACTTTGTCCAAATATTTTCGACAAATCGGGATAAAGATATTAAATCAAATCATCACTGTTATAAGTCTTAGAGCTTGAGAAAAGTCATTACATGCCCAAATTTTACATGTAAGACTTTGATCCTATATTTCAATAAATGTCAAAATGTTTTTATTTTTGTTTCTGTTCAATACTTTCTTCTTCAGGGTCTCTCATGGCCTATACTGTATGATACCTCCATTGACCCTGCTCTTTTATATTGCCATATGTTTATCCAGTAGCAGTGGTTATGCTCAGGCAATCTTTGAAATATTCCACATTTCATGCATCTCCTTCAGTTCTGCCTCTGTCCATTTTATTCATTCTGCAATTAGATAAAGGCATTTCTTTGCCGTATAAAACATGTTTTTCTTGACTACAGGAAGATCACCCTTTATGTTGATCAAACCCAGCCAAGACGTAGAAGTATATTTCTTATTCAGAAATATGTATTGATAAATAAAATGGAAGAAAAACTAAATTCTATCAACTCTTTTTTCTTCTTCTATGTCTAATTGCATCTTCATCCTACCGCCATCTGCCATAATGTTATCAAAATGGAATCATCATTCAACACACAAAACGATGTTGCATATTAATTAGACAGTATGTTAGTTTCTGATTGTTAAGAAGGAGATTTTAAAAAGATTTTACACCTATTCCTTGCAAATTTTAGACTTCTAATGTAACACTTTCAGTACATTAGGGGTACATAATCTTCAAAAACATCTCTACACTTAATGATAAAGCTTTCACATTAGTATTGTTTTTAGCCCAATGGTTCTGCTAAAGAGGATTTAAAATTGACCCAAACCTTACTAACTGCTTTGAAATTATATTGACAGGGACAGAGACACACTTGACACTCCATCCCCCCTTTCTGGGTTATGCTTTGCACAAAATTTAATCAAAATTAACTAAGCTAGATAAAAGTTGAAAATATGAAAAATTACAGTCAAACAGATTATGAATAACTTTCAGCACATCAGACGTAGTGATCCTTAAATAAAATACACCTACAAGATGATGCTGTTTTATTCCTTTGAAGTGATATCTAATATTGTTTCTTTTCCTGTATGCCACCTCTATCAGAACAAAATGTTATACATGTATTAACATAACCTATGACCGTATAGTACCCCAGTATTTACTTTACAATTAATTAAGTTCTGGAAACAACCCTCAGATGCCCTCAAAACAAATGATTCTAAACTGGCAAAGGTAAAGGGCATCTGAAGAATTTAAAACAAAATGATAGTACAAACAAGCAAACAGTGTGCATGAAAATGTTGGCACACACTAGAAAAAACTAAGGTACTTTCTCAAACTTAACATGAATACTAAAGAGGTTTTATGTAGCTGTATTGCACATACCAAAAGCTGTCCTGCAGTTAAAGGTTGGTTGCCTAGTAGTTATGTAGTATGTACAAGTTTTTCCCTCTATCTCTTCTAATTTAAGAAGCGAAAATGTCTCTAAAAATCTTATGGTTGGCATGAAGTATTCCTGTTCATGTAACTGATTACTTACAATTGTCCTTTTTCTGAGGGTCATCTTCTGATGAGTTTGTTCTTTGCAATGTTCACAGTTGAAGTTCCTGTTTGACCTGTTACATTTTGAAAATCCTCAATGAACATGATTATGGTTTTAATTTCCATTGTAATTATTGATTACTTTTATAAAAAAAAATCTAAACCAATTTATTGTAACATAATACTTAGGAAAATATTTATGTAATATCAATGGAAAAAAGGAATCATTATCTCCAGTTATCCTAAAATCACAAGTAAGCATTAATCATATAAATTCACATACGTAAACCCATTAGCTTTCTGTGCTATTAAATCATAAGTCATCGCTGTGCAATAAAGGAAATCAAGTACGTATCCACAGCTTAGTGGCAATAAAGTTACTATCCCCGTGTAAAAAGTGACAAGCCTAAATATAGAGGCAAAAATTAAAAAGTAGCATTGAAAAAAAGTTCATCGTGAAAAAAAGTCAGGGTATTAACTACATATGATTCTTTTAAAATTAAAGTTTAATTTAATTTTCGCTAGTAAAATTTAATCAAACATAAATTAATGATTTAAAAAAATGAAAATTTTTTTTTAAATATTCCTCTTTTGGTCATTCACTAGTTCGTCTAATTAAAGCGAGGCAAAAATCATTTTGTTTTCATCTTGAATCATTAAAGCCATAGTATATGGCGTATGTACAATGAAAATTATTAGACTAAAATTATAAGAACTTATTATTTGTATCATTACTTTATATAAACATGATAAAGATAGAAATTTTCCCCAAATTACGAAATCTAAGTCAATTGTGTTATAAAGATATCAAAATTTTATTTGGATTCTCGGAATTTCCCCCGACTTTGAAGAAAACACAAAAGATTTAAATAACACATTACAGAGAAGATAAAATCGCATTATTAGATAAAACGAGGTGTTCTCCGTGCTCCGAATTGTATGAAAAGCTTTAATTTAAATGTATTAATTATGTTTCTTTACTTAATTTTGTATTTTTCAAAAATATATTTTTTGATCAGTTACGTGGCTTTAAAAAACGCTACATAATTGCATGACACTTATCATTGAGCTGATTGAGTGAATGTATATAATTTAATAATGAGATATCTGTGAGGCATATATGTACTTGCAAATATTGCTATATTAAACAAAGGAAAGGGGGAATTCAAATTAGGAAATAAAAGATCGTTTTTAAGTAAATCAGTCTTGTAGTACTGCAAAATGGATGCAGTTGTGGAGATTTATGGATAATATGAGCATGCTGTCTGGAATATTTCCATATTAGGGAATTTAATAGCAAAAAAGAGTGAAAATACCGGTGGTGCTTTTCATGTATTACATGTGTATTTTAAAATTCCTAATAACCCAAGGGGATTCCACAGTGCAGAAAACCAATAGCCCCATCCTCAAAAATTGAAGCCCCGGGTGTTACTCGATGCTAATTACACACCCATCATGTGAAATAGTTATAGTAGCCCTATAACAATTTCAGTATTGTTTTAAATTAATTAAAACAAATGACAAAAACAATAATTTAAAACAAAAAATCTAAATAAAGCAGACACTCAATAGTGTTAAATCTAGACCCTAAAAAGGGCATGGTAATCAAGGAATCAAAAGGGCACTTTGTGTCGCGACAGGATCTCACGAGGGCACTTTGAAAACAAATGTAAATATCATTGAAATTATATTTAACATTTTTTTAATTTTTACATACTTTAACATGTTTAATTACTTTTAATATCCTTTCATATTGAAATCTTTATTTAAAACAAGTAATTTAAAGATAAATTCATATATCTGTATTCCATTCTTTTTTTAAACAATGTTTTAATTATTGATTCAGAAACAAAAAGAATATAAAAAAGGCATTTTCATCCAATTTCTTCAATAAAAAAGTAGTAAGGTTACACTTGAGAAAGTAATGGTATAAATCTAGCTGAAACAGGTGCAAAAAATATTATTAAAGTTTGGAGGTATGATTATTTTTTTACCTGCTTGGACTGTTATTTGTTTACATGTACAGTCAATTTAAAAATTAAAGGAAAATACTTTTTTTCAGGGAAGGGGGATGGGCATTTTGAAAAATACATGTAGAGACCATTCTCTTTACTTGGAAAATATTCTACCAACAGGATCATCTAAAAACTGGTCTTACTGCCATGCATAATTTAAAAAAAAAAAAACGTTGGCTTTAATTAGAAACTTTTATCCTCAGCTTTTCAAATCCATCAGTTCAATCAAAGACACTAACTAGTTTGTAGTTTTTAAGCCTTTTTATCACATTACATTCATTTTTTTTTGGTACACTGTAAGTATTTTATTCAGATAGATAAAATATCCGTTTTTCTTCAAGTTGAACTATGTGTTTTATTCTACTTTCGGTTTATACATAAACGATCCTGATTTTTATTAGTTAATAATTTACAAGTTTATTTATCTTTGGTCTTGGGCTAATTCTTGCATAATCAATGCAATCAAATGACAGTTTCTCAAGTTAAATCCTCTACCCTGACAGCCTGAGGCATTTTAATTAGCCAGGTGGCTGTGTGCGTCCGTTTAAGCGTGAAGTGATTAAACAAAGGGTTATCAGCATGCACTGAATAAACAGAACAGCAAAGGAATATTCAATCAAAGTCAACAAAATCAAATACAGAAAGAAGCACTTTTTTACTGAAAGTTTTTCAGTAATACAATGAATCTCTTAAGTTACATATCAGATGAGATAAACTTACATACAATTATTTAGTTGTTGTCAATTATCCCATTTATCATCATCTCAGCTCACTTTGCGATTGTAATACTGTCTACATGAACCGATAATTTACAGCTGATTTATGAACATACGATTGTTAAAATTTTCAATTCCCTTTCCAATTTACATTGTCAGAACATACTTAGTTGGTTATGATATAAAATTAAATAATAAACACTTTCGATTTATTAAAGATTATCTAACAAATACGATCATTTACTAAATACTTCTCGCCCTCAAGAGAGTTAAAAAGACAGAGAAAATTCAAAATACAAACAAGTGTAACTTAGGATTAATTGTTCCGATAAATCTATTTTAATTTTGTGCACAATTGTTTTCAAAATTACATTAAAATCTATTTTCCTTAAACAAGAACCCAGCAATGGATAAATATTAATCGAATAAACTTACCTTTTCTTTTGTCAATCAGAAAATCTTGTTGACATTAAGTGTTTCTTAGTCGCCATATTTTTTTTCCATGAAAACAAACGTTGTTATGATCAGGATCAACGGAAGTTGATTTTCGGAACTCTCGAGAATTTAGAGTTCCGAATGTATAACTGAAACAACAAAACACGGTGCGTCCGTGAAAGCAACTTTTTTGGACACTTTTTTGGACAAATCGTCGTGTCCAAATTTTGTTGGGTACTAACCTGCAAATACCCAATTAGGGTGTTTTTAGCATATTCAGCGACACTTCTTATTGGGTATACCCTATAAGCAAAAAGCACCCAATAAGTACAAGCTTGGCATGAAAAATACCCAATAAATGCACTCTCGTAAACACGGACGGACAGCTAGACGGACGGACGGACGCATTACTATCGCATAAGCTCTTCTATTCTCTGACCAGTAGAGCTAAGACCAAACAATTATGAAGAGGAATAATCAGAGAATGTAAAGATAAGCATTGAATTACTACTTTTTGATGTTATCACTCCTGTAACACAATTGGATTGTGGGCCAAAAACTTATATAAACCCCTTTCATCAAAACCTAATTTACATTTACACGACTTATTAAATTCTGTTGTTTCAAACTTTTAATGGTTTAATGATATGAAATACAAATAAGAGGCTCAAAGGTCACATGATAACCTGATTTGACGAATGCATGTAAATGATAACTAATTTCTGAAATAAACATGGGGTTTCCATGTCATATACGTTCGACGTTATCTCTCAGTGACATAATAAAGAGTTGACGCACAATCAATTAATTTCAGCAGACATGTACGTGCCATTGAGTTTGAAAAATAAAGCATTTCACGCGTTAAAGTTTAAAATTAGACAAACATAAGATATGATTAAATCACAAATTAATGTTGGTACGAGATCAACTTTACCACAACCCCTTCTGGCTTAAATGAATTTGATCTCGTGACAAACCCGTATTTATATCTCGATAGATGTACATGTAAAAAAAAACCTTATTTCTTGAGTAAAGACACAGTGTTCATATATACAACATATTATCATCATAAATTTAATCTAAATTAAATCTTATACCAAATATTTCATTGTAAACGTTTCGTTAAAGTGTGGAGGGTTGCTATAAAAACATACTAAGGATAAAAAAGATCGAAAGGACATGAATCGGAATTTCCTCATTTAAGGTTATATTAATATTATATGATGATTAAAAGTATATATAACAGCCATAGGAATATAATTTGTATTATCTAAAATTATACATACCCATCACAGCTGGACATATTAAAAACAGGTGGTAACACAAGGCATAGAATTAAAGGGAAAACGTAACATGTATTCATGTTTGATATATCTACATTGAAAGAGACAAAAGCATATTAACTTAATCAGATGTGTTCCACTTCCTTGTTCCTATTGACACACAAAATATTGAGTACTTCCTGCTATTCTAAATTAAACTTTATTAAAAGTGTTGAATTGTAGCGATTCCTTAATAAATGTGTTTCAGTGAGTTTTACATCAGTAATGTGCTTGTGGTATCGGTTTATGTTCATTTTGTTTATTTCACTTATCTATTTCGTGGAATATGAAATTATTATTTATGTAGACACTTAGAGGGTAATACGGAAATATGTTGGGTCCTTGAAAAAAAAATTAATATTGGGCGAGGCGTAATAATTTACACAATTCAAATCAATCGCCTTTTATAGATATCCGAGATTCAAAACAATAACTGATTAATTTCCGATTCGGAATTTAAATATCAGACGGAGTTTATAGCCAATTCAACTATAGAAACGTCGGGATATTTATGTTCAAAATCGATATTATATTTAATTTTAACGTTAACAGCAAATACATGCATCATTTTAAAATTACATATATAGTGTTTTACCTTAGATACACCATATACATGTACAGCTTGGACATATTATAAGACCAAAGCATGAATTAAAAATTCAATATTTACTTAATTTTCCTTGTACTTGAGCATTTTCTTAGGCTACATTTATTTTTTCCATTACTTATTTGTACTCTTTGACTATTTTTCCGCGATGATCAGTGCTGATATTAAATTAATCTGTATGTTAACGTTGAATTTGAATTAACGAGGCCGAACAAAATTTGAGTGCGCAATTTTCTTTTTATAGTTTTATGCAGTCGTAAGTACAACATAACGCCTGTCCAAATCATTGTAACTTTGATATAAAATTAACATTGTATTACATCATCTGTAAGAAATTTAGTGTCTAAATGTGTGCTTTTTAGACAATAATTAAGAATAAACCCTGTAATGCCTTTCACGAAGTCACTGTTCTCGGTTCTGTAAGCACTGTATAACGCTGCAGAATGATGCATAACTCCCTTGAATATTGCAGACGTCCATGGACATTTTAATAAAAAAAATGTCGACAGAACATCAAGAGAAACATGTCAGTAATTAAATCCTCATTATTCTTTTGACAAGATATTTCATCGGAGTCAATATATATACAAATTAATACTGCAATACGGAAATTTTAGAGGTATTTGGCATTTGGGAAAAAAAAAACTTTGAAAAATACTTGTGTAGACCAAACTAATTGGTAATATTTTTTTCAAATTTCACAATTTGATGACGTTTTACGATATCTTTCATGTAATTGACTGAAGGAAACCCCTAGGGTAAATGTTAAAATTTGGAGCTTTTCCAACAAATTCCGACAGGGTCCAATATTAAAAAAAAATGGACAACTTTTGAGTGCCACCTCAGAAATTGGGATGGTCAACATGCAAGACTTTTCCATCTTAAAAAAAACAATTCAATAGTAGCAAATCATTCACGAAAATTTATAAAATCTTTAGGGTAGAAATAATTAGACTCGCTAAATAAAGAGTTATAGTCTATTACAATTATATTTTCTACATATGTTGTGAAAACATTTAATGTTTTGTTTTCCGTGAAATGATAATTTACATTATTGTGTAAATGATATGGATTATTACATTCTGTTGATTTTTCTTGGAATAGCTAAAAAAATAAAGTAATATACCGTGTTGTTCTTTTTCGAATAGTATTTTTTATCGGTATTCAACGGAATTAATTCATGCACTTCTTTCTTCAATTGAATATTTTGAGGCGAAAGATTAGAGTCGTCTATACAATAGCAAATTTCCGTTATATAAGGAGAAAATACATAAAAGCCAAAATGCATCAGATTATTTTTTGTAATTTTGCTTTTTATTTCATTGAAACATTGAATCGATATATCACAAAGAATTCGAAAGAACAGACACTACAGATACTTCAAACTCTGCTTCATTTTTTGAAAATGTACATGTAGCAATTACAACTGCAAACTATAAATGAATTGGCCAAATACATGAATTGGAAAAAAACGGATTATACAGCGTTTCCTTCGTGTAGCTTAGTGATCGGTAGAATCACGGGAGTAAGTTAATTCCTTAATAAAATTACAAACACAGACAAATCACTCTCGGTAAAGATATACAGATGAAAACAAATTTCAGAATCTGGTGGGCATAGATCTTTTAAAGTGTAAATAAATTAACTTTAAAAATACACAGAACCATGTTAATAATATGCGGAAATGAGAAATGATGAAAATCAGAAAAAGTCACATTAGCTGATTGTCGTCAGTTTGTGTTTCCTCATAAAAACTAATTTTTGTACTCAGACAATTATCTTGAGTATCGAACAAGATGGGAAATATATGATCCTTGTGCAGATGTTAGAGGAATATTACAATAACTTTATATGTCTATCTGTTTTCTCTGTGATAACTCTTCGAAAATTAGTGGAGATGATTTCTTTATTATTCTACCGGAATGTAAATTTTGCCAACTCAGAGTGACAGGTCAGGACCTAAAAAAGCCTAATATGCATGTAAATTTCGTGCGGCTGGCTTTGTGTCTGACGCTAAATAAGCCATACATACGTAAGAACAAGGTTTCTGTACAAATAAAACTTATGTAAAAGTTAAAAACTTTTGCTTTCTGAATCATTGAAATTCCATGCAGATAATTCATACAAATCATTTATCTCACACGTGTTCTAAATGCCAATTGTGATGTCATAAATATTTGCATTTTCCCGTATTTGTTTAAAAAGATTCGCAATTAAATTTTCTTTCAGAAAATATTGTCTACAGGCATCGCCCACAAAGATTTTGAGATATGTGATTTTTTATTGTTTTTTTTTTTTGGCACAACATTTAAAAAAATTGATATAGGCGACGGCTGTGGACACTATTTTCTGAAGGAAAATTACCCTTGACATTGGCTAAGGTGAGACTTTTTCTGATAAAAATACAGATATAGAAATGCATCACATTTATGACGTCATAATTGTAGAAAGGTAATCCGTTTTGCCATATTCTTTCCTGATTTATCAAAGTACCTTATTCTTGTGTTGTTCTCTTTGTAATTGACATCACTGGGCGCGGGACTATTGAAATTGTCATGGGAGGCCCGTATAATTTCAATCTATTAGTTAACATTTCTTTCAATTTAAAATTAATGTACAATTTAATTTCACAATATAATAGAAATACACTTAACAAAACTTCTTGGTGTTCACTCTGATAAATGTATTTATTTGAAAACTACTGCATAGAATGCCATGATTTTTTTTCACATTATTAAATCAAATGAGTCTTCTCAACAATTGTTGAAAGAAAATTAGATATTACTGATGAAGACAAATGTTTCGTGACGAAGCTTAAAAACAAAAAAAAAATCTGAACTGTGCGGCACGTGTTTCGTTTAATTAGCCTCTTTTTATTATCAATCTAAATTTTGATAACTGATTTCACTAAAAAACACAAAACATTGGCAAAATTACCATTGAGAAAGAAGGGAGAGCTGTTGGAATGTTGATATCTAGTCTAAGATCATCCTTGAGCAACGTTTTACTCACTTTTATTCTTGTACTTAATTGTCTTTGATATTACTTTTAAAAATTAACAACCAGAAATTAACAACCGAATCAAAACCCATTTTTTATAGGCTAAGCGCCATTTTCATCGCCAATTTATCACAAATTGAAATCTTTGGATAAAATTTTACCAAACCGGAAGTGACCTTAATCTTTGTCTGAGGCCAAGGTTTTGCGTCACACCAGGTTAAAAGAGTCACTTTGTTAAATTGTCATGAAACAATCTGAAACATTAAAACAATTTCAATCGTATGAAAATGATAAGCAATCGGTGCTCGCACCAGTCAAATACCATCTCAAACAGTCTAAATCATCCTTAAAGCGATGCACTTGCGGTATAAACACCAAGGATATTGACCAAAAGGCCTCTATTTGATTGATTGATTGATTGTATACTGTTTAACGTCCCTCTTCAGAATATTTCACTGAGATGGAGACGTCACCATTGCCGTTGAAGGGCTGCAAATTTAGGCCTATGCTCGTCACTTACGGCCTTTGAGCAGGGAGGGATCTTTATCGTGCCACACCTGCAGTGACACGGGGCCTCGGTTTATACGGTCTCATCCGAAGGACCGCCTCATTTAGTCGTCACCTTTTACGACAAGGAAGGGGGGGGGGGACCTATTCTAACCCGGATACCCACAGGAAGCATCTGCTTGATGACGCACTGTCAAATACCGGAATCTGAATCCCATTTAAACATTTGGGATTTTATAAGGAATATCAAAGCTCCTCCTCCACACAATTTCAACGGTTTGGAAAAATGTATAAGAAGCAGTTGGGCCAATCTTCTATTCAGGGATACATGGTATCAAACAGTAAAGGCTGTCTTGCAGTAATAAAAGCGTGTGTAGTTCCTGCTCAATAGAGATTTTTTGTGTAAATTTTCATTTTGAGAGTATATCATTTCCTTGACACTTTGCTTAAAATTCTGACTAGGCACTTACATCAAACCAAATTATGCATCATTAATCATAAATTAATGAAAGTATTTATTGTATGCGTTTGTTCTTTAAAACTTAAAAATGTTAGGCGAACACTTAGAAGTTTGTTTCAGTGTTCAAGGAATCACCGTGTAGGTAGTAGAGTATGCCAAGGACATCAATGGTTGTTGGAAACATAGGATAATTTTCAGAACGGAACGGAGCATACGCTACTAAACAGGCAGTGTTTTTTTAAGTAAAGGAATTTGACGTTGGATTGATTGATTGTACACGTATGCTGTTTTAAGTCACTAATATATTTCCCTCATATAGAGATTCCATCGAAGACCAGGGGGAAAAAATTCAAATT